CAGGAATATAAAACTGAGCTTATGCAGGCCAGGAATATAAAACGGCAGCTTATGCTGATGATGTACAAACCCACAAACTATGCTTCCGAATCTATTACATGACCTGAAAGTGTATGGGGAGATTTCCAACTTTAAGGTGAAGCTGTGAAAATCTTTTGCTCTCAATGTCTCTTTACCTTCGGACTTGGTCTCCAAATGTCAAGATACTTTCCCCTTCATATGGCAAACGACCTCTATCACATACCAAGGCATTCAGCTTCCCACTAATCTATCTGAACTTTATACTAAACTTTTTTGCCACTCTTAACATCTCTCCAGCAAGACATCAAGACGTGGGATAGGCCCTGCTTTTTGTGGTTTGGGAGAGCCGCCATTGTGAACATGACAGTACTTCCCAGGATACTGTATGTTATGCAATCGATCCCTATCTGGCTACCCAGCTCGTTTTTTAAGAACTCACACAACTTAATCAATTCCTTCATATGGAGCAACAGAACTCCACAGATTAGTGTGAAACGTCTGGTATGCCCAAAGCTCAAAGGTGGTATTGGTCTCCCCAACTTTAAACGATGCCACCAGGCTTGTTATCTTATTGGATTAGTGGACTGGCATATTCATGCTAAGACTAAGGACTGGATTTCCCTAGAACAAGCCTTTTCATTATACTCTCTGAATGCTGTCCCATGGAATACGTGCTCTTTCCCGATGGATACCCTAAAAGCACACCCACTGATTGCGGCAACTTTGCAATGCTTCTGGGCACTGTGCGTCACCTCTGCTGTGTTCTCTATTCCTGGGCCCGTGACCTCGATTATTCAAAACCCTGAGTTCTTGCCGGGTCTTTGCCCAAAGTTTCAACAAATGAGTGGCCTTCAAAGGAGCCCTAGAGCTAGCGAATTCTTTGTCAAGGGCGGATTTCTTTCTCAGCAGCTCCTCTCATCCTGGACTGAAGAGAAGACCTTCCCAGTCTGGACGCATCTTCAAATACCCTTTTTTGACTCAAACATCCAGATGGGAGGCAGTCCAAAGACCTACTACCCACTTCAAAGATCTCTGTTCACTTAATTCACCTCGTCAACATCTTATTTCCTCAATTTCATTCACTCTTGATAGCACAGGACCATCCACACATAGATATCACTCTGAAAGCATGGAATGATGACCTGCCCTAGCCTCTTTTGGAGCACGATTGGGAGGCAGTGAACTTAACAACCCATAAGGGCTCACTAAACGTAACTGTACAAGAGAATTGCTATAAGGTGGGTTCCAGGTGGTATAGAGTACCATAATTGCTGAACAAAATATTGACTTCTGTGCCAGACAAATGTTTGAGATGTGAAGAGAAGGGATCTTTTCTCCATATTTGGTGGAGTTGTCCTCGTATTCAAATTTATTGGCGACAGGTTCACGATATTGTTTCTAGAGTGACCTCATACCCCCTGGAATTCACACCAACTCAATTCTTGTTGAACCACTCCTCTGTCATGCATGGGTCCTATAGGTAATCTTTAGCTATGCATCTCATCAATTCGGAGAGGCAGTGCATCATTGTCTACTGGAGACAAAGTACAGTACCTTCCATGAGATACTGGTTTCTGAGAGTAACTCATGTGTCTGAATTGGAGGAACTAATAGCTATTTCAAAAGAGAGTATGTCGAAATATTTTGTGACTTGGGCTTGCCCACTCTTTTTGCAAAAACACTCCTAATTTGTCAGATTGAGAGGGCATCTCCTGGATTCAGGTCTGGGCTCTGGCTTGGCCATTCCAAAACTTTAATCTTCTACTGGTGAAGCCATTCCTTTGTTGATTTGGGTGTATGCTTTGGGTCGTTGTCATGCTGAAACATGAAGTTCCTCTTCATGTTTAGGTTTCCAGCAGAAGCCTGAAGGATTTGTGCCAATATTGACTGGTATTTGGAACTTTTCATAATTCTCTCTACCTTGACTAAGGCCCCAGTTCCAGTGGAAGAAAAACAGCCACAAAGCTTGATGCTGCCACCAACATGTTTCACTGTGGGTATGGTGTTCTTTTGGTGATGTGCAGTGTTGTTTTTGCGCCAAACATATCTTTTGGAATTATGGTAAAAAGTTCAACCTTGGTTTCATCGGACCATAACACATTTTCCCACATGCTTTTGGGAGACTTCAGATGTGTTTTTGCAAAATTTAGCCATGCTTGGATGTTTTCCTTCATAAGAAAAGGCTTCCGTCTTGCCACTCTACCCCATAGCCCAGACATATGAAGAATACGGGAGATTGTTGTCACATGTACCACACAGCCAGTACTTGCCAGATATTCCTGCACCTCCTTTAATGTTGCTGTAGGCCTCTTGGCAGCCTCCCAGACCAGTTTTCTTTTTATGTTTTCATCAATTTTGGAGGGATGTCCAGTTCTTGGTAATGTCACTGTTGCGCCATATTTTCTCCACTTGAAGATGACTGTCTTCACTGTGTTCCATGGTATATCTATTGCCTTGGAAATTCTTATGTAACCTTTTCCTGACTGATACCTGTTAACACTGAGATCCCTTTGATGCTTTGGAAGCTCTCCGCTTTTGCTGTAGGATGTGACTAAGAAAATGTCAGGAAAGACATACTAGAACAGGTGAACTTTATTTGGGGTTAATCAGACAGACTTTAAATAATGGCAGGTGTGTACTGACTCCTATTTAACATGATTTTGAATATGATTGTTTAATTCTGAACAGAGCTACATCCCCAGTTATAAGAGGGTGTGCACACTTATGCAACCACATTATTTTAGTTTTTTATGTTTACTTCCCCCCTAAAAGATTTCAGTTTGTTTTTCAATTAAGTTGTACAAATTATAAATCACATTAAAGGTGGAAAAAGTTCTGAAATTATTTATCTTTGTCTCATTTTTTTTACATCACAGAAGCATGACATTTTAAAGAATGGGTACACTTTTTATATGCACTGTAGAACCTAACTGATAGCAGATAAGAACATCAGCTTCCCCTCCTTCTGTAGCCTACTAGTACAGTGAGCAAACAGTCTCGTTCATCTTCTCCTCCACTAGACTCAGTAGGGGTTATTTCCTAAAACTGGAGAGTGCAAAATCTGGTGCAACTCTGCATAGAAATCAGTCAGCTTCCAGGTTGTAGTGCCAAAGCTTAATTGAACAAGCTGAAATTAAAAGCTGATTGGCAACCATGCACAGCTGCACCAGAGTCTGAGTGCACCCATTTTAGTAAATCTTCCCCAGTGGCTATGACATCTGTTTTTGTTAGTACCTTACTAAAGCTCAGCAGTTTAATTTGTTAGGAAAAGAGAGACACAAGACAGTTGTCCTATGAGGGAAGGAAATATAAATTCAGCCCTGCCCAGAAGTATAATCTTTATTTTTAGGCAGGAAATTATAAAAAGGATAACATTAAACAGGAATAAATATGCTATAAAAAATAATGGCCCCTGGGTGGAAGAAATATATTATAGTATTTAGTACTGGTCCCTAACCGGAATAATGGGGAAGCGTGAATGGCCTGTAACCTTTGTGGGTATAGCAATGCCAAGAAATACTTTAACTGGTTGAATGCTAGAGCAGGGATCCCCCTCTAGGAGAGGGATCATACAGGGCTCTGTACAACTGGTTCTACTTGAGTAATGTATGATAAGCCTTAACAGGGTTAACAGAACAGTTCTTCTTGGTTCTCTGGTTCTAATAAAAATTACATATATATATATATATATATATATATATATATATATTACATTAGCTTGTAACTTGGAATACACTACTTTTATAAATCACTGAAGCAATAAAGCACTTTTATCTAAAGCTAGATACATTTAGATTGACTGAAATGGTAAAGGGACAGAACTATCCTAATTATATCCATATATGTCAATTTTTAATGGAAACATTCTATGCATTATTATTAACTGTACATGTACCCAGAGAGTTAAAGTATTGAGTAAGGATAGGTTTAAAACCTATAAAGCAGGGAAGGCTTAAAACCCTTCTTTTTCTGCCATAAAGTATCTGTTCATTGTGTTCAATTTAAGAGATTTCCCATCACTTCCTGTCCCATAGACACTAGAGGATGTGACAAAATATCTCTCCAAAATTAAGTAATTCCTCCCTTTGAACAGTTATCATTGAAACATTTGTGTACTTAACATATATATGTTATATATACATGTAAATAAAGCTGTTTTTTTTCATAATTTTTTTTTTTTTGTGTAAGACTTCAAATGTACCTGAAAATCCCATTTAAAGAGTACTTTTCCCCTTCCCTCCCCCCCCCCATCCCTACTCTGTAAACCTTTATTCTTCAACAGGGAGGAAATAAACAATCATACTTATCTATATTCTTGTGATTTTTTCTTCATACGTACCTGTTCGTATTGTCCTATTGTCTGGGTCCTGTTCCCACACTGCTATTTTGAAAGTATTCATGATACTGTGCATGTGTCATATGGCACTATTGGGATTTTCTAGGAATAAAACCCCTTCTCGTAAGATCTCAGAAAGAAGCTTTTCCTTCCCAGAAAATAAATGTACTATTTTTCACTCCATAAGATGCACTTTTTTCCCCCAAAAAAATGGGAAAAATGTCTGTACGTCTTATGGAGCGAATATGGAGCTGCTGACCCGGTATTCTCGCCACAGCCATGTTAGAATACCGGCCCAGCTGCTTGGTTCTACTGTGCAGAATAATAACCTGCTCCTTGGTCTTACCTGTTCCATGGTCTAGCTGTGTCCTGCTTTCACCAGCTATCTTCCCTCCCTCACGCCGGCATCTTCAGTGTGGGCACCCGGCTGTGACAGCTGCTTCACAGCTGGGTGCCCACTGCGCATGCATGAGAAGCGCTGCGCTTTTTGAATGGCCCATAGTCTTCTGGGATCTGTCATGTGTCCTACAAGACTATGGGGAGGGAGGGGGGGGGACAACTCCACGGAAGTGGGAGCTGGTACCTGTCAAATTCGGGTACCCACCCCTCTGCTCCCCAAGGGTATGCAGTCTCTGGTCATCTCCTGTACTGTGTCTGCAGTCTCTGGTCATCTCCTGTACTGTGTCTGCAGTCTCTGGTCATCTCCTGTACTGTGTCCACAGTCTCTGGTCATCTCCTGTACTATGTCCGCACTGTGTCATCTCCTGTACTGTGTCCACAGTCTCTAGTCATCTCAGTCATCTCCAGTACTGTGTCCACAGTCTCTAGTCATCTTCTGTACTATGTCCGCAGTTTCTGGTCTTCTCCTGTAGTATGTTTGCAGTCTTTGGTCATCTCCTGTAGTATGTCTGCAGGCTCTGGTCATCTCCTTTGCTATGTCAGCAGTCTCTGGTCATCTGTAGTACATCCGCAGTCTCTGTTTATCTCATGTACTATGTCTGAAGTCTCTGGTCATCTCCTGTATTATGTCTGCAATCTTTGGTCATCTTCTGTACTATGTCCGCAATCTTTGGTCATCTCCTGTACTATGCCTGCAGTCTCTGGTCATCTCCTGTACTATATCTACAGTCCATTGGTTCAGAATATGTTTGTTGTTTTCCTCCTCTAAAATCTAGGTGCGTCTTATGCAGCGAAAAATATGGTATATTTATATGGTACTTGTGTGAGATGAAGCACATGATGTCAAGTGCTTTGTCTTGTGCATGTGCAGCATGACAATATTGCAAGATCTCCCAATTTTTTCCCAATTTGCTAAATATACTCTCTGTAAATATAACTATTAAAGGTTGGTAGCTTTATGTACTTTACAACACAATTGCAGAACCAAATGATCATCAGACTTTACCTATGGTCAGATACCCCATATGATATTATCTAAACCCTGTGTCAAGTGCTTTATGCAGCTGAAAATCCTGTTATATGGTTAGTGTTCTTAAAAAGACAAACAAAAAATAATAATGTCTTACGTTTTTCTCATTCTTAAACATGGAGACTTACAGTTGTTATGAACCAGATAAGAAAAAAAACAAAAACCCAATGAAAATGGGTAGATTTACACTCTCATTTTTGTGTGAAAAAAACTATAAACACAAAGTCACTTCGTGTAACAATAAAAAGGTTTTGCAAAACACCCAGTTTAGAAAGAAAACCCATAAGTTTAAGCCATCAGCTTCCAATATCCTTCAATGATTTTAACAGCTTGCACTCCAGAAGATTGACCCCCCTTCGTGACCAGGCCATTTTTTGCGATACAGCACTGCGTTACTTTAACTGATAATTGTGCTGTCATGCAATTCTGCACCCAAAATGAAATTCCTTTTTTCCCACAAATAGAGTTTTCTTTCGTGGTATTTGATCACTTGTGCTTTTTTTTATTTTTTGTGCTATAAACAAAAAAAGACTGACAGTTTTGAAAAATAAACAATAAAACATCCAATAAAAAAAAACCTAAAAAGAGGAGTGCGCATGCGCGGCCAGCGGGACGGACATGTCCCGTTGAGGCTCCATCTCCCCGTCGGGTGACAGCGCCACAAAGCAGCGGGTCCCGGCCCGCAATATATCCCAGGGGGACTCGATCGCTGAGGCAACCATCCCAGGGTCCGATCCGCCCTGGTCTGCGGCGGATCCCCTGCAGCAGGTCGGAGTAATCCGACGGGACGCGTGTCCCTGCGGCGAGCTCCGCACAAGCCCGCCCACCACAGCCTACACTGAACCTGGGCAGAGGAGAGAGAGAAAAAGGGGGGCTGAGAACACCATAACAGCCCCCCCCCCACACTGACAGGCAGCAGAATGGTTAAGTGGGCACCCCGGCACCAGGTCCCCCCTTCTACCAAATCAATCAAGGAGGCCCTGGCAAAGGCCTCCACAAAGATGGCCACCGCCCCAGCACATGGAAGCAAGAAGGGGACAGGTACATATGCAGCCCTACAGGATCCGCAGCCCAGCCATCCCTGCACGTCTGAAGGTGAGTCTGACACTGAAACAGATGTCCCTGCACAAGCCCTGACGCCTGACCTTACAACCCCTGACCTGTTGACCCGCTTTGAACAAATGCTACACAAAGCTTTGAAGCAAACCTCGGACCGCATCACTGCTACGCTATCTAGGGAAATCCGTGAACTAGGGCAACGCACTGCGGACCTAGAGCAGAGGGTAGATGGTCTTGATGTCGCGCTTCAGACACATACGGATGACCTTGACCTCCTGCGCAACGAAAACGCATTACTATTGACGCGACTGGAGGACTTTGAAAACCGGGCTCGACGCTCAAAATCTGCTATTCGTGGCCTCCCGGAAACGATCGTCGATCTCCAATCAACAGTAACAGCTCTGTTCCAAGAGCTTGCCCCAGCTATCCCAATCGAAAGATTAGAATTGGATAGAGTACACAGGGCGTTAGCACTACGACGTACGGATGGTCCACCACGTGACATTATAGCCAAGCTCCACTTTTTCCGCACTAAGGAGCAACTACTACAAGCCGCCCGTAACGCAGAATCTCTACAGTTCCAAGGTCATTCATACCAGTTATTTCAAGATCTGAGCCCCACGACAATCACCAAGCGCAGGGCTATGAAACCCCACCTACAAGTACTTCAACAACACGCTATATCGTATAGGTGGAGCTTCCCCTTTGCAGTGCGATTCCGTTACCAATCCCGGGATTACACCTGTAAGACTCCAGAAGACCTACTAGACACCCTGCGGATCTTACAACTGCATCCCTCAGCGACGCCTTCAGAAAGCACCAAGCGGAGTTCCACGTCCTGCCTCGCCGCGGAAGTCCCTCCCCACGCGTGATACTGCAGGCCCACTCAACCTCCACAAACGAGGCCGCTTTTTCATCTCCGGGTCTATTTTCAAAAGATACCATGGAGTGAACTATGTCTCATGTTTATCCTTCTTCTCTCCACTTTATTTTGGCCACACACACCAAACGGTGTACGCCTTTGACTGTCGTTACTGTCGTTGCGGTTAATACCGTCAATATCCTCTCTCCCTCTACCTGTTAAATTTTGGTTGTCCCATTACCTGGGAATTGTTCGGCTCCCCCCCCTCCTCAGGGCCCCACCTTAGGTCAGTTTGTTTGGGAGCCTAGGCTCTGACGGCATGCAACGCCACACCCTTTCCCCTATGATGTCTCACTGATACTGCTAATGCCGTCTGAGTTTGGGATAGCGTGATCTTCATGAATGTATTTTCTTTATGTACCTGTTTTTTTTTTTCTACCGGACCTTGCTACCTTTTATCAATCAAGTTGCTGTCATCCTCACGGACCGTGTACCTGCACACTCCAACCTAGCCCCTGTGTTATTGGTTATTTAATAACGCTTGGGCTACTATTGTTCCCTAGCCCACCCTGACTCAGGGTGTCCTTGGGAACCCATCTTTTAGGCCTTAAATGGCCTCTTACACCCCTTCTTTCCTGTTACCTCTCCCATGTCGTACCCCTCCTCCCTCCCTCCAACATGACTTCAAGACTCTACACAACACACTCCACAATGCCCTCATCCCCCGTCAGGCTCCACCTTGGGAAGTAGTGACAGGCTATCTTAATCACTATGCGCTTTCCTCATGGGTTCGTTAAATATACTTACCCTGAACGTGCAGGGACAGAAACGTAATAAGGCCTTCCGAACCTTTGCTACGCTTAAAGCTCACGTGGTTTGTCTACAGGAAACACACTTCACTCCCAACTCCACTCCTAAGTTTTTTGGCCCCCGATATCCTCAGGTCTATACAGCCTCTGCCGCCACCAAACGCAGAGGGGTACTGATAGCCTTTCATCGCACAACACCCTTCACACTAGGCACTGAAATCAAAGACCTGGAGGGCCGTTACCTCCTGTTAGTTGGGCAACTCTTGGACATAGATGTCACCATTGTTGCATACTATGCCCCAAACCAAGACCCTCTACCATTCCTTTCCCATATACTCTCGATTATAGACCACCATAAGCGTGGAACTTTAATTGTTAGCGGAGACTCTAATAGTGTAGTATATCCCTTCCTCGATAAATCCCCTCAACCATCTCCTGCCCCTGTCTCTAAACAAACTTTTCAAGCCATTCTACACCGTTACTCCTTGATTGATACATGGCGACAACTCAACCCGGCGAAACGCCAATACACCTTTTATTCTCACCCCCACCAGTCATTCTCCAGGATAGATCATATTTTCCTTACCACCGCTTCTACCCCCCGGCTCCTGACTTCTGAAATAATTCCAATACCTTGGTCTGACCATTGCGCTGTATTCACAGCTATGACCTCCTTGGCCCCATCCCCCGCTGAACCCTCCTGGATTATTAACGACAACCTGCTTGTAAACCCAGCTCACTGTCTAGAACTCGAAGCAGCCCTTAAAGATTACTTTTCTCTTAACCAATCGCCTGATATGTCTCCTCTCCTGTTATGGGAAGCACATAAACCGGTTTTGCGAGAGTTTTGCATTAGCAAAGCATCCTTCTTAAATAAAAGCAAAAGGCAGCAACGTCTCACACTAGAGCAAACCTATGATCGTTCCCATCAAGCCTTCCAGGTGGCTCCTACGCCTGCCAATCGTGAGACTCTGGAACGTTCTAGATTGGCTCTAGATCTTTTTCTCACAGATCAAGCTGAACTCTCGCTCCGTAGATCTAGATACAAATATTACACCAAGGCGAATAAACCCAATACATTCCTGGCCCTCTCACTTCGTAGGCTTGACCAACTCACTAGACCTATACGGATACGCACCTCTTCTGGCAATCTCACTAGTAACCCAGAACACATTCTACAGATTTTCCACATACACCTGTCACAGCTTTATTCATCTTCTACACCTTTTGACCCCACGCAAGCAGATACCTTTCTAACCCCCATCTCCTTCCCAAAACTTTCAGAGTGCCAGTTAGAGGCACTTGAGCGACCCATTTCCCTAGTCGAAACCTTAGATGCTATTAAAAATTTAAAACTACGTAAGCGCCCAGGACCAGATGGCTTCTCAGCCACTTATTACAAAAAATTTGATCACCTCCTTACACCTATCCTCACTAATGCCTTTAACGCTCTACTGTCTGGCCAAATTTTCAACCATGACACAGTACAAGCGAACATTTCCATGATCCCAAAGCCGAATTCTGACGATACGCAGTGGTCCAATTATAGGCCAATCTCTCTCCTCAACATTGACGTTAAACTGTTAGCTAAAATCCTCTCTTCACGTCTTAACCTATGTATTGGCTCTCTAATTCTTAACGACCAAGTGGGCTTTATCCCAACTAGGCAAGCGGGAGATAACATCAGACGTGCATCTCTCTTGGCTAACTTAGCTAGGTCTCGCAATATTCCTGCCTGTTTCCTGTCCCTAGATATCCGGAAAGCATTTGATACAGTCTCATGGCCATACCTCAGCTATATATTGCGTCGTTGGGGTTTTGGCCCACATTTCTTAACCTGGATCTTCTCACTATATCGAGAGCCCTCGGCCATAATTAGGTATCGGGGACACAGGTCGGCTCAGTTCCCAATCTCCAGAGGCACGAGACAAGGCTGCCCTCTGTCCCCTCTGCTCTTTGCCCTGGCTATAGAGCCTCTGGCCCTCTTAATTAAAGCTAACCCGGATATCAGGGGACTTGAGATAGGAGGCACGCATCATAAGTTATGTCTCTTCGCGGATG